TTTATCTAATGCACGATAAAACCTATCGGTTATTACTGTTAGCAAATCAGCCATAGAATGAGAAGATCAAAATCCATATTAATGATCAGAAAGTAAGTTGTTAGATTCAAGATGAGAGATTAAGTGTTTGTTAATTAAAGATTCAAAAACCATGCTTACGATAGGAAGAAGACTAATGGGACGGTAGTTAGACTTGGAATCAAGAGATGATATTGATGAAAAGTTCTTAGCAAACAATTCAACTTTGTCTTTAAGTGAGGTGACAAAATCTGAACCATACAAGAGAGGTGGAATTTCAGATTTGCCTTTATTATTGATACTATTAAAGATTCTCCAGAAGTCACAAAAGGCTAATTTTTGTGATAAAATACAAGATTTCATGACCCGAGAATAGCGGGCTTTGGCGTTAGACAAAACCTTTTTACAATGGTTTCTAGCAGTAATAAACAGACCTCTGTTTTCTGGAGAATTGTTTTGCTGATAGATATGAAGTAATAGTTTCGATTGGCAATTGCAGCAGCACAATGTAAGAAAAACCATGGAGAAGAGTGAGGCTTGACCTGGAATGGTCAAGAGGGAATAAAGAATTCCATACCAATCTTATGTAAGAAGCACATTTGTCAACAGGAACACGAAAGATTTCTACCCAAGGGCTATCACGAAGAAAATCATGGAAAGAGTCCTAGCCAGCTTTATAGTAGTTGTAAGATGCACGATGATAGGGGGATTCTGCTGATAAAGAAGAATGAGATAATAGTTTTAGAGAGATCAGACTGTGATCAGAGGCACCTAAGGGTGAACGTGGAGAAACTGAGGACTAGCTAGGATCAGAAACAAGACATATGTCGAATAGAGAAGGTAAGTGATTCAGATTTTTGGAAAGCAAATTAGAAAGTTGACTATTTGTGTTAGAGATTGAGAAAGGCAAAAGTTGTGGACTTAAATGCCTGCAGAAACACTGACACTAGACCCAAGCCATTCAGTGTGATGAGATTAAACTCAACATTAAAGTCACTGACAAGAACAATATTGGCTAATGGATAAAGAGAGAGGGCTTGGTCAATATAATCAGAAATAACACCAAGAAGAGTGCAGTCTTGAGATGAAGGAGAGCGATGTAGAACAAAGAGGCGATAGAGTGAAGTGGTACTAAACGAAAGCACATAAAAGAGTAGTCTGTGGATTCAGACCTAGTTTTGCGACAAATTGGCGAATTCTTATGAATGTAAATGCCAAGGCCAAACGTGACTATTGGAGTCTTTACGAATTAAAGGAAGATAACCATCAACACTAAGATCACAAGATAAGACAGCTGAACTCAAATTAGTCTCACAAAGAGCAAGTAGGTCTGGTGAACTTTGCAAGAGATAAGACTCAACAGAAAAAAAGTTACTTCGAAGACCACAAATATTAGTGAATGATAGGTTTAGAGATCTTGGTGATGACAATGGTTTTTTGTGTTTTATAGTTTTTAGTACTTAAGTCATTTTATTTTTTTTAAAGAACTTAACTCAAAGCATAGATACTACTCATTAGGCTATTTAATGGTCCAAGCAATTCCAAAATGGAACATAATTAATAAACATATTTAATATGGAGAAATGTGACATTGGAAATAGTCTTAATATTCATTGCCACAAAACTGGGTTTTTTAGAAAACAAGGTTTTGTTTAATTCAAAGATCTTCTGTGTGAAAAACAAAAAGAAATAATATGGCAAGCAATTTTAAATAAAAAATATTGTTCAATACGAATTATATGTTGTTATCATGAGCAATTCTATGGAAAATATTTTAAGAGAAAAGTTAAAAAGTTTGCAATCCTTTTGGAACACACAAGGAAGGTTAAAAAATTTCTATAAAAGGTATAAAATCTAACATTAATTACAAGAGAATTGATAAGGAAATTAAATTTGCAGTTATCATATGTATTCACCCCCAGCCAGAATTCATGATAACTGTATATAGCTGACCCAGACAAATGGCTGGGTGCATATGAAAGCCCTTGATGTCTGGATTTCAAAAATATAATATTTGAAATCCAACTATTTCGTCTCAGAAAATAAAATGAGTTTTTATTTTTATTATATTACAGCAACTAGACAAATGACAGCATAACTATTTTTTGCATAAAAAAATATAAAACATTGTTTTTTTGTTTTTATGACTTTGAAAAAAGTGCATACCTGTATTTCTTACATAAAAGGATTTTTTTTTATTATTGGTGTTAAAATTACGAGAAAGAGCTATTCTCAATACATCAAAACAAAGAGCCACTCATTTTTACGATTTTGGAATCATTTGGTCTTTCAAAATGCCCAATCAAACTAAAACTCACAAAGATTGCCGGAAAACTGTGTGTTTCTTGTGCTTGAAAAAAAGCACAAGGACAATTTCACCATCAATGGCACAGGAAATTTCAAGCTTGTTTGAACAAAAGATCAACTTTAAAGATGAACAAATGCCAATTGGGATTTGTGAAGGATGTCGTTCAACACTGCGCAGAAAACTTGATGGAAAAGAGGTTGTCATACCAAGACTCTATGACTTTGAAACCATGTCAGGCGACCTGCAAGCGGACTGATCTGTGATTGCATTATATGTCAAGTTGGGCATCTGAAGCTAAATGAATCCCATCCTCTTGAAAAAGTCAGACAAATGATAACATGTGAAGAGAAAGCTGTGAATAAAAATTCAACCTCTGACCACAGATGTTCCAAATGCCTCTCGGTTCTGGGCAAAGGAATTTCTCATGTATGCACTGAAGTTAAGTTTCGTGAAAATATGAGACTTTTGGCATCAAATGACAGCACAGTTGCTCAACAAATTGCAGCTTCTGCAATAGCTGGCACAGATGCTTCCCCTCAAGGAACAATTCGGCTGGCTCAAGCAAAAGGTGGACGACCTTTACCTGTCACCCCAGGTAAAAATGACTTTATTGTAGTATAATTAAATGTGTTCAATTTTATTAGTTCTCAATGCCAAAAATGTGGTCAATTCTTGAGAAAAGTCAATCACTTTAATTGTGACAACTTGTAAAATTTAAAATAAAATTGCCAAAATATTTACTTATGGGTCCTTCAAGTGCAAGAAGACTCTTTGAATTAACATTCTTAGTTACTACAGGGGATCTCGTTCAAGTGCAAATCAATACTGGATTGTCAAACACAAACGTGAAAAAGTTAGCAACAACTTTGAACCAAGTTTCAGCAGTCCGAATTACTGAGCCAAACATTCGCTCTAAATTTTCTGCATTAGGAAACTCACTTGCCGGATTTTTTAACCAAACAGATATTCTACCTGAACAAGGCAATGGAGTTATTGGCAAGAAACTTGTAGCTCACTGTAAAGATCTGCAAGAACTGATAAATGAAGTTCTTTTGTCACAATACTGTAAATGTAAGTCACAATATAGATAATTAATTTCTTAAGTCTTGCTATATATATATATATATATATATATATATATATATATATATATATATATATATATATATATATATATATATATATATATATATATATATATATATATATATATATATATATATATATATATATATATATATATATATATATATATATATATCGTATTTTGATAAAGATATTAAAAATGAATTTGAATTCCTTGATAGTCTACATAAGTTTCAAAATGATCATAAGGAAGAATTAATCCCTTAAAATCAACACTGAAGACAAGCAATGGCTTGACCATCTTGGTCAAAGGGTCTTTTGTAATGAAATCGAACTCAGTCAGCGTTAAAAGTTGTTCAAAGTCCAATCTGTGACCATGCACTATTGATGATGAATGCTTTCCAGATTGAACAGCAATATAAGTGGAACCAAAATAGGAAACTGCGTAGGATTTTCCCAGCCCATCTGGTTTGATTTCATTGCCTGGGTCAAGCGACGGGATGAGATTGTGCTTTTTGGGGATGACCCAGTCATGATCAGGAATAGAAAATCAATTCTGTATGCATAAATAATGAAGCTCTATTGTCAGCAGCGGTGATTCCAATTGGGATCCGAGCTTTATTGTCTTTACTAATAAAGCACACATCCTTGGGACCCAAAAAAGTGCAAACTTCTTCCACATTCCTTATAGTTTCTGTACAAAATAGATCATCCTTGTGACATGAATGAATATCGTTTTGGCCTGGCATCAACCTGATTGGAACTGTGTGGACGTGTCTCTTTTCTTCAAACAATTTGCTCCATTTTAGCATCAACCGACAATATTATTTTTCGAGCTCGGTACTAAGCTTATCAGACAATTTGAGGGTCTATATAAAAAAAAATTATAAGTGAATAATTTTAGATATTATATTAACGCCCAATTTAGATGTTATATTAACGCCCAATACAGTCGAATAAAAATTTTTATTAGCTTAACTCGTACTTTTTATTAGAATTACTTCGTAATTTTTATTAGCTTAACTCGTACTCAGATTGCCTCTTATCGTAGGTAGCAGATCCGTGTTCAGCAAGCTGAATGGTGACGCGCATAGTTCAGATTGTTCTAATTCAATAGCAGAGCGACCGAATCCGTCACGTAATTAATTAGTTATATACGTACACGTAATAATTAATTATTTAAATAACGTAATAACCTAACGTAATAAATTAATTATATACGTACACGTAAATAATTATATATATATATATATATATATATATATATATATATATATATATATATATATATATATATATATATATATATATATATATATGAAAATAAAATCTAAATAAATAATAACACGAATTTTTTTTTATCAATTACGATAAGTAAAAACATTATATCCCCCACGTCGACTTTATAAAAACACCTGTTATATAGTTTTCCATGTTATTAAAGCTAAAATGAAAAATTCTATAACATGACATACTTTTCTGATAACCCTTCCTCCCCCTTACCCTTTTCATCTTAACCCCCCCCCCTCTATTAGCATGACTTGCCACTTACGCAGTTTATCCAAAGTTATTAAAAAAAAACTGATGTCGCAGTTTATGGTGAATAAAAGATTGGTGTATCTTGTCGGACGTAGTAACGAAACGTAATGCGCGTTATTTTAGAAAAGTTAACGCAATGGTTTAAAAAAACTACAATAAACATTTTAGGTAAATTTCTCTTTATATTTTTGCCACATTTTTATTTAATATTTATTAATAAAAATACTAACGGTAAGATACATTATATAAAGCAAAAATAATTTTTATTATTCAATAATACTAAATAACAATAAAAATATTATATTATTATGTATTGTTTTATTTATTAATAATTTCAAACGATAACTTATACAAACTCAAACACAACTTATGCCTATTTATATGCATATATCGTTTGATATGCATATATCGTTTATGCCATAAGGTCCATAGATTTTGTATAGATAAGAAAAAGAAAAGGACTTTGGTTTGATCCCTGAGGAATATAGACATGAACAAAATAGTGAAAGATTTATTAGCAGTACTAACTCTTAGTAAATGATTTTATAGATATAACTTAAGAATAATTCCCTTACATCATAATCATTATAATGTTAGGGAAATTGACAAAATTATCTCATTATGATAATAAGATAGTTTTGATAGCATAACTTCATAGTTAACAATATCAGATGCTTTTTAAGAATCAACCAACACTACACCAGAAAACTGGTTTTACTTTAGAGCATCATTTATAGTTTTAGTTATAGCTTATGAGTGCTTGGTAAGAAGAGTATTCCTTTCGGAATCCAATTTGGAGACTATAAACTATTTGATAGATTTAAAAATCTGGCTAACCTGATAGTTACAAGTATCTTAATTAGAGTAACTTTTTAAGTAGCGTACATGCACATGGTACACCTTCAACATAATTTTAAATAAGTCAGAGAATATTCTTGATTGAAAAGAATAATTTATTATATTATTCAAAGAGCAGTTTAACTCTTGAGATGCTAAAATAAGTATTTTCATAAGAATGCTATCAGACCCATTGCTTTTTTTTTTGGATTCAGGAAAGATATATAGTCTTTTTTTGTGAAGTAACTGGGGACATAAAAACAAAAATTGAGAATTAGGTTCAAAATTTATACTAAATTGAGTCTAAATGTAGTCAGAATTTGGTCTAAAATATATATGCCCCTGCATATAGTCAGAATTAGGTCCAAAATATATATTCATTCCTTCAGAGTCCATTAACTAAGACTCTAAAGGGGTATGAATATTTTGTCAAACTTTCTAAAAATGTCAGACTCAAGTTTTTTAAACTTATTGACACAGATTGATACAGGAATGTTTTGGTGTCGGGTGCTTAAAAGCTACATGTAGCATACTTTACACAAATCCTCATTTAGGGAGACTTGCATAATTATTATTTTTGCAAAGGTTTTAATTTTTTTGACTTCTGAATTTATTGTGCTTTTTTTGTTTGTTTGAGGATTTATATTATTTCTATATTATACTTATACTTGTTAACTTTCTTTTAGTAGTTTAGTTCGATATTTTTAATAAATAAAATTTAATCAGAAATTAACTGAATCAAAGATATCAGTAATTCCAAAGCCAATTCCAAAGAACTGATGTTCGAGGAGAAAAACTAGACAAATAAGATTTTTTTAAGGAATAGTCACTGAAAAAGGATGAGACTTGGTTGAATGATGAGTAACATTAGAATAAATTTTAGTAGATGGTAACAGAAACACTAGCTCTTTAGAGCAGTGCCCATTATAGTATTTGTAGAAAAGAGAAAAAAAGTAACATTACAATGATGTGATAAAGGTCAAATTATGTTTACAATCCATTTTTGCACCTTGTCTAAAAGAGAAAGTACATTATTCAAAAATCCGCCCCAGATATGGCAACAGTATTCTATACAAGGCCAAATTTGAGATTTATAGAGATAGAGAATAGAATCTGGAGTAAGAAAGTGTTAAGCTTGATAAAGAGATGCAACTTTAGTAGATGCTAATTTTGCAACGGATTTTATATATAGTTTCCAAAAAAAGTCGGACCAAAAAGACCAGCATGCCAAACTTTATCAAAAGCTTTAGAAATGTCAAGAACGATGGCCTTAACCTCTCCACCTTTATCTAATGCACGATAAAACCTATCGGTTATTACTGTTAGCAAATCAGCCATAGAATGAGAAGATCAAAATCCATATTAATGATCAGAAAGTAAGTTGTTAGATTCAAGATGAGAGATTAAGTGTTTGTTAATTAAAGATTCAAAAACCATGCTTACGATAGGAAGAAGACTAATGGGACGGTAGTTAGACTTGGAATCAAGAGATGATATTGATGAAAAGTTCTTAGCAAACAATTCAACTTTGTCTTTAAGTGAGGTGACAAAATCTGAACCATACAAGAGAGGTGGAATTTCAGATTTGCCTTTATTATTGATACTATTAAAGATTCTCCAGAAGTCACAAAAGGCTAATTTTTGTGATAAAATACAAGATTTCATGACCCGAGAATAGCGGGCTTTGGCGTTAGACAAAACCTTTTTACAATGGTTTCTAGCAGTAATAAACAGACCTCTGTTTTCTGGAGAATTGTTTTGCTGATAGATATGAAGTAATAGTTTCGATTGGCAATTGCAGCAGCACAATGTAAGAAAAACCATGGAGAAGAGTGAGGCTTGACCTGGAATGGTCAAGAGGGAATAAAGAATTCCATACCAATCTTATGTAAGAAGCACATTTGTCAACAGGAACACGAAAGATTTCTACCCAAGGGCTATCACGAAGAAAATCATGGAAAGAGTCCTAGCCAGCTTTATAGTAGTTGTAAGATGCACGATGATAGGGGGATTCTGCTGATAAAGAAGAATGAGATAATAGTTTTAGAGAGATCAGACTGTGATCAGAGGCACCTAAGGGTGAACGTGGAGAAACTGAGGACTAGCTAGGATCAGAAACAAGACATATGTCGAATAGAGAAGGTAAGTGATTCAGATTTTTGGAAAGCAAATTAGAAAGTTGACTATTTGTGTTAGAGATTGAGAAAGGCAAAAGTTGTGGACTTAAATGCCTGCAGAAACACTGACACTAGACCCAAGCCATTCAGTGTGATGAGATTAAACTCAACATTAAAGTCACTGACAAGAACAATATTGGCTAATGGATAAAGAGAGAGGGCTTGGTCAATATAATCAGAAATAACACCAAGAAGAGTGCAGTCTTGAGATGAAGGAGAGCGATGTAGAACAAAGAGGCGATAGAGTGAAGTGGTACTAAACGAAAGCACATAAAAGAGTAGTCTGTGGATTCAGACCTAGTTTTGCGACAAATTGGCGAATTCTTATGAATGTAAATGCCAAGGCCAAACGTGACTATTGGAGTCTTTACGAATTAAAGGAAGATAACCATCAACACTAAGATCACAAGATAAGACAGCTGAACTCAAATTAGTCTCACAAAGAGCAAGTAGGTCTGGTGAACTTTGCAAGAGATAAGACTCAACAGAAAAAAAGTTACTTCGAAGACCACAAATATTAGTGAATGATAGGTTTAGAGATCTTGGTGATGACAATGGTTTTTTGTGTTTTATAGTTTTTAGTACTTAAGTCATTTTATTTTTTTTAAAGAACTTAACTCAAAGCATAGATACTACTCATTAGACTATTTAATGGTCCAAGCAATTCCAAAATGGAACATAATTAATAAACATATTTAATATGGAGAAATGTGACATTGGAAATAGTCTTAATATTCATTGCCACAAAACTGGGTTTTTTAGAAAACAAGGTTTTGTTTAATTCAAAGATCTTCTGTGTGAAAAACAAAAAGAAATAATATGGCAAGCAATTTTAAATAAAAAATATTGTTCAATACGAATTATATGTTGTTATCATGAGCAATTCTATGGAAAATATTTTAAGAGAAAAGTTAAAAAGTTTGCAATCCTTTTGGAACACACAAGGAAGGTTAAAAAATTTCTATAAAAGGTATAAAATCTAACATTAATTACAAGAGAATTGATAAGGAAATTAAATTTGCAGTTATCATATGTATTCACCCCCAGCCAGAATTCATGATAACTGTATATAGCTGACCCAGACAAATGGCTGGGTGCATATGAAAGCCCTTGATGTCTGGATTTCAAAAATATAATATTTGAAATCCAACTATTTCGTCTCAGAAAATAAAATGAGTTTTTATTTTTATTATATTACAGCAACTAGACAAATGACAGCATAACTATTTTTTGCATAAAAAAATATAAAACATTGTTTTTTTGTTTTTATGACTTTGAAAAAAGTGCATACCTGTATTTCTTACATAAAAGGATTTTTTTTTATTATTGGTGTTAAAATTACGAGAAAGAGCTATTCTCAATACATCAAAACAAAGAGCCACTCATTTTTACGATTTTGGAATCATTTGGTCTTTCAAAATGCCCAATCAAACTAAAACTCACAAAGATTGCCGGAAAACTGTGTGTTTCTTGTGCTTGAAAAAAAGCACAAGGACAATTTCACCATCAATGGCACAGGAAATTTCAAGCTTGTTTGAACAAAAGATCAACTTTAAAGATGAACAAATGCCAATTGGGATTTGTGAAGGATGTCGTTCAACACTGCGCAGAAAACTTGATGGAAAAGAGGTTGTCATACCAAGACTCTATGACTTTGAAACCATGTCAGGCGACCTGCAAGCGGACTGATCTGTGATTGCATTATATGTCAAGTTGGGCATCTGAAGCTAAATGAATCCCATCCTCTTGAAAAAGTCAGACAAATGATAACATGTGAAGAGAAAGCTGTGAATAAAAATTCAACCTCTGACCACAGATGTTCCAAATGCCTCTCGGTTCTGGGCAAAGGAATTTCTCATGTATGCACTGAAGTTAAGTTTCGTGAAAATATGAGACTTTTGGCATCAAATGACAGCACAGTTGCTCAACAAATTGCAGCTTCTGCAATAGCTGGCACAGATGCTTCCCCTCAAGGAACAATTCGGCTGGCTCAAGCAAAAGGTGGACGACCTTTACCTGTCACCCCAGGTAAAAATGACTTTATTGTAGTATAATTAAATGTGTTCAATTTTATTAGTTCTCAATGCCAAAAATGTGGTCAATTCTTGAGAAAAGTCAATCACTTTAATTGTGACAACTTGTAAAATTTAAAAT